ACGTCTATGTGTGTTTATATATATATATATATATATATATATATATATATATATATATATATATATAATTGCGACTTAGCATCTCACAATTAAAAATATTTGCTCGCAATTTTGAGCTTATAAGTTTATATTTTAAAATTGTGACCTTTTTTTTCTCAGAATTGAGATTTTACATCTCACATTTCGGAGTTTATATCTATCAAATCTGACTTTTATGACTGAAAAAAAGGGCAGAATTTCCTTCTCGCAATTTTGAGTTTACATTGCATAATTCTGTTTTTAAAAAAATAACATTTTTGAGTTCTCTCTTATCAGAATGGCAACTTTATATCTCACAATTCTAAGTTTAGGCCTATATCTCGCAATTCTGACTTTTCTGACTGAAAAAAGGCATAATTGTGAGATATAAACTCAAAATTGCGAGGGGGGAAAAAGTCAGAATTGTGAAAAAATCGCAATTGCATTGTTAGTTTTTTTTATCATCGTGGTGGAAACAATCTTCCATACTTTATTTTTATTAATTCAGCTTGCAGGCATATTATGAAAGTGCAGTAAGTAAATGATCTGAACAGAAATAAGACTTTTATTAACACTTCTGAGGGTGCTTTCATGTCCAAGTCTGTATGAACCAAGCAACAATATTGCATGCAAATGTTACAAATGAGTAACAGTTTGATTTAAAAAAATGTTTTAGCAATTCAGATTGTTGTTTAAACTTTAAATGTGGTGATGTGATTGTCACAGGGAGAGATATTGTGTCTAAAGATAACGGGATCCGTCCTGCCACCATGGAACAGATGGCCAAACTGAAACCCGCCTTCATCAAGCCTCACGGCACAGTGACAGCCGCAAACTCCTCCTTCCTGGTCAGTTTATTTGAGTTTCTGTCTTATCCAATTTGTTTTACCAGACTTTTAATTTAAGGAATATCTGTCAGATTTGTCATGAGCTTTGCTCTGTGTGTGTGTGTGTGTGTGTGTGTGTGTGTGTGTGTGTGTGTGTGTGTGTGTTCACTCAGACTGACGGAGCGTCTGCGGTTTTGATCATGTCAGAGGAGAAAGCTCTTGCTATGGGTTACAAGCCTAAAGCGTATCTCAGGTACAAAAAAAAATAATGCCTTACATTAAAAACTACCACCAGCAGCATCTCACTGACAACATCATCTGTGTTTTCCTAAACAATTTAGCTGATCTGTCAAAATGTACCCATGAAACAAGTGTATGTATAGAATTTAGGCTGCAAAAATGGCTCAGAAGTACTATCTGAAAACCAAAAACATCAATGTTTACTACAAAACTGCTGCTGCACATTATATTGGTCAAGGATAAAGTATTTTCACATTTAAAAAAAGATGCAATTTACATTTCAGTAAATGTAATTGTTTAATAAATTATAGTAAAGTCTTTCCATTTTCCAGTTAATCAAGCTTAGTTTGCTGAAGCTGTAGGTGTCGTGTAATAATCGGTTTATAGTGTATTATCATTTCTACAGCACACAGCGGCTCATGCTGCTGATGTTGATATTATGTGTGTTTTTACCTTCAGAGATTTTGTGTACGTGTCTCAAGACCCAAAAGACCAGCTGCTTCTCGGGTGAGTTCCTGCCTCTTTTCTTCTTGTCTTTCTCTCTCAGGCCTGTGAGGTTTTGTGCTGTGGGTTTTGTTATTGCTGTGGTTTGGTTGTGTTGTGGCGTGTGAGTTTGTGACTCATTCATATAGGCTGCAGAAAAATTAGACTCTGTTTAGATTTTCTGTTCTCTTTTTATATGCTTCATCTTCTCTTCATGTATATCTCCTATAAAGATATACATTGTTCCCTAGTTGTCATTCTTAATCCAAAGAATTCAAAACAGGGGGTAAAGTTTTTAAAATCTTTTTGAAAGAAGCCTCTTATGCTCACCACGGCTGCATTAATTTAACCCAAAATACAATAAAACCGTAATATCGTGAAAAATGATTATGACGTAAAATAGATGTTTTCTAATGTAATATACTGTATTTTAAAATGTAATTGATTCCTTTCAGCATCATTACTCCAGTCTTCAGTGCCACATGATCCTTCAGAAATTATTCTAATGTGCCGATTTGCTGCTAGAGAAACATTTCTTGTTATTATCATCAATGTTAAAACAGATCATTTGTTTCAGGATTCTTTGATGAGTAGAAAGTTCACAAAACGGCATTTATTTGAAATAGAAATTTTTAATTTAAGCCCATCCTTGCTAAATAAAATATTAATTTCTTTCAAAAGACTTACTGACCCCAAACTATTGAATGGTTGTCATTTTTCGCATCAAGGTAAAATATTTAAAAAAAATAATTTTAAGGTAAACCATTACATCTTAAAACAACTTTGCGTAATGCCATGCATATTATTTTAATTATTGTTATTGTTGTTGAAATATGTTTTACTGTTCTGATTTTATGATTGATTATTATGGTGTCTAAAGGCAGAAACAAAACTATTATTATATTTGGTTGTCCAAATCGACTAGCAGGTGTAATAATCTGTCATTCAATATCTAATATTAAGTGAGATTTACATGTGTAAACATGCATTTTCTCTTTCTTTCTCTCTCTCTCTCTCGCTCTCTCTCTCTCATGACACACACTCATGTCTGGGTTGTTTTCTCTCTCAGGCCGACCTATGCCACTCCAAAGGTCCTGGAGAAGAGCGGTCTGACCTTGAATGACATCGATGTGTTTGAGTTCCATGAAGCTTTTGCTGTAAGCATCACCTTCCAGTTTTCCACTGATATGGTGTTAAAAATCCTATGCGGAACACTTACTACATTTAGTAGTGATTGTGTGTGCAAATACTTTAGTTGTCTACCTATTTATTTTTTTACAGGGTCAGATCATGGCAAACCTGAAGGCAATGGAATCTGACTGGTTCGGCCAAACATATATGGGCAGAAAAACAAAGGTGGGTGTGAAATAGTGCTTAACGATCAACCCGAAGGTTGTGTGTTCAAAATTCAGGAGGGCTTGATTCATGAACTATCACCATATTGCCCTTGAGCAAAACACTAAACCTCAGGATACTCCAAGGGGATTTGAGCGGTATAAATATACTAGATGTCCCACTGGGTAAGAAATCATCAACTAAACAAAGAATAATTACAAAAACTAGGTTTTAATGAAGAAAATATGAGTTGCATTTGTCATGCAAACTCGCGATTTCTAAAGCGTTGATTTATTGTTGCTAAAGGTGACTTGAAAAAAAAACCCCACAGCCCTGTGTCATATTTGCTAAATTAAATCCAAAACTTGTTTCTTACTAGTTTTGGGGATCTGATTCCAAAAATAGTGCCTGTTTTGCTCGAGCAGGTCACAAATCCTCACAAAATGTGATGCATTTCGTAGCATTTTTGCTTCCAACAACCATTTGTAAGGTGAAGAAGTCTTGTATTATCCCTTGATCAGCAGAAAAACTACCACTAAGACATGATTCCTGTCTTCCTCTGAGCCAGGTTACAACTATTGTTTTAATTCTCAGCCCATTTTCAAGTTTATGAGTGATTATGAAAAAATTATTTATGCTTAATCCTGTTATAATATGGCCAGTGACAGAAGAATATGCAAACATGACCCTGATGTTTTCTGCTACATCTGTGGGTGTTTTACTACATCCAAAAAGCAACAGAAAATTACAGGTTTTGTGAAAAAAGCTTATTTATTTATAACTTGTGTTCATGTAAGGTTATTTGACATTAAATGGAGTATTTGAACATATCTTTCTACGTCTATGCAGATTGTAAGTTAAATGATACATTTGGAATACTTTCAAATTGAAAAGTGTTCAATTGAATTTTGAATTGAATTTAAGAATTTTGAAAACTTGGCATTGCGTTAAAGCTGGTACATACAGTAATTAGAAAAATTTGTGGGGGAAAAAACTATCCATGATGGAAAGTATTTTTAAAATTAGGCAATTTTAAGCCATTTTTTGAAAAGACCAGAGGCCTTATTTATCAACAGTGCGTAGAAAAGGTTCTATATTTATACTTATATTTACACACTTATTAAGTTATTAAAGGTGACATATCATGAAAATCTGACTTTTCCAGGTTTTAAGTGCTCTAATCAGGTCCCCGGTGCATCTACCAACCAAGGAAACGTGAAAAAGATTAGCCAAGTAACTTTGTTTTGGGAAGCCTTTTTTTGCAAGCGTCTGAGAAAACGAGCGCTTCAGATTTAGCTCCCTTGGTGACGTGGCAAAGGGATCTCATAATATTGCCGCCCCTTAATCTGTAAGTTTTCACCCACGGCACCGTCATTTTGATTTTCGCAAGCAACAACGGTGTACTAGTTCTAATGCCATGGCGAAATTTAACTCGTGTGTTTTTAACGTAAACTTGTGTGTGAATTAGGGATGCACCGAAATGAAAATTTTGGCCGATACCGATAACCGATTATTCTTTATTTTTGAAAGCCGATAACCGATATGTTGGCCGATAAATCTATATCCAAATTGTTATATACTTTTTGAGAGCCTGATTACAAAAAAGGTCTCATCATTAAAAGCCACATCCCAAACACTTCAACATAAGCAGCCTAGTTTGAACGGTGTACGTTTTAAAAATATTTTTACTCTCCCATTACCAAATTTAGTACAAATAAATATTGTGTGAAATGCCTTGTCATACATTTGTTTTTTTCTTCGTTTTTTGGTAAAAATGAATGGTAGAATTCCACAAAATGGGAACTTTTTCCATTTTGATAGTGATTTCAGTTTAAAAATGGTAAACTTTCAATCACACACAAATATATATATATATACACATACACACACACACACACACACACACATACATACAGAGTATATGCATGTGTATGTATATATATATATATTTATTTTTTTTTACATTTTTGGGACAAACTTTGGGACACACCTTTCCCCTCAAGTCTTTCAATTAGTACAAATTACACCCTTGTAATATAGCTATATATATTATATGAACTTTATATGATGCTCAACAGCTCTGTAGTTCGTATTTTTGGTTCTACTTTTGAGGCACTATTATTTTATATGAATATAAAATAACAGTAGCCTATTTTTTTTTTTTATTAGTAATGCTACTGTAATATTAGATTCTAGAAATAATATCATAGCCCTCAGTCATCAGTAGAATAAGGGCGCTCTAGCGACGGGTGAGCGTTTTGCGCGCATTCATAAGCGGCGCGCTGTTTACAGACTGTAATTGTATTCATAAGCACCCAGAGGATCGTCCTACTCCGCCGCGAACCCCTTGGTGTGTAAATGAAGCGTTTCAACTCCTCAGAAGATGAACTACAAATATCGCCGCCACGGTCCCGTCTGAACCCCCTTCGCGACGCAGGTTGTTTTCCCTCAAATTGCTCGTTTGCCATCATTTCACATTCCGTAAAACGTCGGCTTCATTAAAATATTTTTTAAACGAATTAATTCCAATAGTTTTCCAAACGAGCGTCACGCCTCTAGCCTACTTCTATATTTGCGTATTAATGTTGTTATTTGTGCAGAAAAGTTTTTTGGAGCGCTTCAGAGATTTTGAACAGGAGTGAGGTGGAGAGAAAAAAAAA